AAAACTGAGCTGCCCGTTAATGCTGACGTACTTGTAGGCCAGCTAGAAGGCTCTGGCCCAACATGTCAAACTAAAGATCTGATTGGTTGAACACTATGACAATCAACAATATCGTCCCCATTCACTTAAACTGCAAAGGGATTCACTTGTGAGTCTGCAGGCCTCGGGCCTCTCTTCTTACCTAGAGACACAGAGGTGAAATCTGATTGGATAAAAGCTCTACTTAAAACAAGTTGCACTGGAAGCAGAGCAACTGAGGAAGACAGTAGCTGTAAAATGAGAAAATAAGATTATGGGCAAAATATTTTTATAAATTATAATACATAGGGATACAAAATATTAAATTATAAAATAGCTATAACTTTGTGATTCTGTTTAGGCCAGCAGAGAAGGCCTTGCTGGCCCTGACGGCCCACCACTGGTCAATACTACTCGGACTGCAGATATTAGTTTTCCAGTATGTCCAAACGTATGTTTTCATATCTGGGGCCTTGCTTGCTACCATGCTAATGTTAGCCACTGGCTAGCCAAGATTCAGTTATCGTTCAGTTTCATTTGGAGACAGTGTGAATCCTGAGCTTTGTTGATGGTCAATCAACACTTCTAAACTGTCGACTGGCTGCCATTTTGCTTATTGTCTAGCTCCACCAGTGTTAGTATTTATTGTATTGTATTTAATAATGAGTTTATTACTTTTGAGCGAGTAATAAGTCATTGGTATTTGAGACCTTTTTCAAGGAACTTCACTGGTGTAAATGAGGTTAATGAGAGTGAGAGGGAACCCCGTAAAAAGCAAACCAATGAGCTGAAAGACACTAACTTTCTTGTCTGTGCGTTTGTCACTATGAGCGATCCCCTTCACATTACGCATGGTCATTTTATCCATTGTTCATTTAGACATAATGATTCATGCAGCTTTGAAGATGTTGGATATTAAGGAAATTGTCTCTGTAGCACCTTTAAAGCTTTACTTACAACACATGGGAGAGAGTAGATCTAAGATATATTTTTTATCTTCCCATCAGGCCACATTTAACCTGTTCTCCCTTATAGTGTGTGTGTGAGAGGGCACATGTATACATATGTACTATCATGAATATGTGTTTTGAATGGTGGCCATTTTGTCTGAAAATAGCCATATCCAGTCCGTGGTATATTGAGACACATACTTGCATTCCCCATGAGGGGTTGATGGCTGGGGGCCACCGAGGTCTCAGCTCTGTCTGGTCTGGACTAGCAGCGATGGTTCTCATGACACCTGACCCAGAGCACATCCTGTGGTCAGGCTGCAGCGTTGTGCTGTGGAGGGCCAGGATCTGCTCGTGAGGAATCTCCTAACATGGCAGGGTCGGGGGAGGACATGCAAGCTTTTCAATGTGGCTGTTTTTGACAAACACATTAATGTGTAGTCCTAACTGATCTGGCACTGGGGAGGTCAGATTATGCCTATGTGGTGTTTGTATGGTTGCCCCCTCTGCTGGTCAGGGGAAGCACTGCAGACGTTGCAAGCTAGCCAACAAAGTACCACATAATGCTGAGTTTACAGCATGAGTTGTGATGCACATATAGCAGTGTAGCAGGTTACCAGTAACTGTATAATGGTCTGCATGACATCTGCATTATTTATATCCTGCAGTGGTTTCCATTGGTCTACCTCATGTGGTTTCATTGCTTGTGACAGATGATCAGCCAAATGAAAAATACCTAGTAAACAGATTGTGGTCCCATTATCTAGCTGATGAGATTAGCCTGAACACACCATTAAATAATCAATCACAATAGGCAAAGGTTGGCTGCTCTTTGAAATATGATATATATATAGAGAGAGGCCATTATGACACATTAGGTCTAGAAATGCAGACTTTGGAGGACCCAGCCTCTGAGTGGGGACCATAGATGTATAAAGAGCACTGGATACAGCGTTGGAGGAGGGAAGTTTGCCCTCCGAGTATAAAATACAAATTAAGTCACCTGGATTTTCAGGAGATCTTCTGCATCCATGATCCAATTGAGCAAGCAACATTTCCTTAATCAGCCTAGTTCTCATTCATGTGAATGGAGGAATACAAATAATTCAGCAATTAGTAAAATGTTTACACTCTTTTAGGACCTAATGATTCAGATAAGGGCTATTTAAGTGTTCATACTGGGACATTTGCTTCAAAGTCCACTGCTCTTCCTGGGCTCTAGGCTGGGACACACTTTATTTATTTTCAGAATGTCAGACTGAAGTCTGTCCCAGCATGTGATGAGTGGAGAGAACACAGATACCATGGTCAGAGTTAACACAAATATGTAGGTAAAACTTTACAAGACTGTGTGGGGAGACCCTGGAGAACAAAATCACATTGAAAAAGAGCCCCCTTACTCACTAAAACAGTTTATAGCATATAACCTTCTCTCTGCCTTAGGAATTAGTAGTGCATTATTTTCATTCTGATGACGGGAGCATCAATGAGCTAAAAAAATAGAGCAGAAAGGTTAAGTGAAAAACATTTGTTGCACATTAGGGCTGTCACTTTTCATTCAAAATTTGAACTATCATTTGAACATGGGTAGAAAATATAATATTGGATCAGTAATGATTTGTTTGATTTCAAAATTCCCAATACATAAGCGCAACAGTCTGTCTGTCTGATTCATTGCAGCTCCGTAGCAGTGAACTAAGCTATTGTTATTTTCTTTGCTAACGCAAACGGAACAAAATCATCTGCGAAGTAATGTGTGGAAAACACATAATTCAACCCATACCCATGAATAGCGAAATGCGTCTGGGATACAGCTACTGTCACTTAAGCACAACAATGTCTGTCCAACGATGGTCAGAAAAACAGTTTTACACCTCAGCATAGTCTTTATATTTCCCCGCTTTGTGTCATACAACTGCACTGTGTGTCTTGACCAAGCGGCAACCTCTGGGGGGGGGTGAAAAATGAACCCAAAATGGTTGTGGCCACTTGAGGCTGGCTCCAAAAGGGAGTCTGTCACCATAGACCTCTGTGTTAAAATGCCCAATTGTACAGCAGAAATAAACATATTTACAACGGGGTACAAAAAAATTGTTTGGTCTCTATAGCTAATATCCTTGAATTTTTATTCCCACCTGTCTAAAACATATTAAGGCTTAAAGTCATGCATAATTAAGGGCTGCCACTTTTAATGACCAGGGGATGCTTGGTGGCCAGCCACTGTAGCTGTCTGCTAGGCACATAGACTGTATATAAGAAGTGGACGTAGCCATGATGACATCACCTATTGGTTTGTGGACTGCCGTTTCGAAAGCCTGGAGTTCGGCAATTTAGCCGTCGCCATCTTGAATTATGGCCGTTGCCATGTTGGCTTTTTGCAAACGGTGAACGGAGGTTACCATATTTGGAATGTGGAGGAGTGACGTAGAGACGCCGTATACGTCTCTGGTCGCGGCAGCCACTTGTCAATCACTCACAGTAAGCCCGCCCTAAAGCATACTCTGCTTTATGGTCTATTTGACTCTAAAAATGGACCATAATTTACTAAATAAACATCATGCTGTACTGAAGAAGGTTTGAAACTAGAGTTTGAGACCGTAAGCTCATGTTTCGTGTTTACTGAGGTAATAACTCGAGAGAAGTAGGGTAATCTTCCCATAGACTTCTATAGCATCTGACTTATTTTTGCAACCGAAGCAGTCAATCCCTGCTGGCCAGTAGAGAGAATGCAAGTCTTCAGACACTTCCGCATTGGCTTCACTCGGCAGAACCGGAGGTTGCTACCTGGTCTAGGCGTCACCTCAGCTAATTTGAGTCACTGAACTCAACCTCTCAGCCGTGTTTGTGGCGTTAGTGCCTTGTGAAGAACCTTTCATGCAAATATCGGACAGACAATATTGCTTGCATGCAGTTATTTGTAACGGACCCTCCAAGAAGTCTGTGCTCCAGTTTGTTCGGTTAGTGAAATTCTAGTATTATCTAATTTCTACGTTAGCACTAATTAGCAGGTCTGCACTCAACATACCTGACTTCTTAGCTTAGTTTGTTGCACTAAAAGACACTCTAGGCTGTTCATTTTTCCTGCTACTTACATTACAAACAAGCCTGTTTTTCGCTCACCAAAAATTTGCATCCCCGTTATAAGATAAGATAAGATAATCCTTTATTTGTTCTTCAGTGGGATAAGATAATCCTTATGTATGACAGTTCATGTGAATTACTAATGCATCTTGCTAACCAAGCTAGCGCTGATGTTAGCTTGTAACTTATGGTCACATCTGGATCCGAAAAACAAAGATGGCGATGGCCAAAATCCCAAACTCAAGGCTTCATAACGGCAGCCCACAAACCAATGGGTGACGTCACGATGACTACGTCCATTTCTTATTTACAGTCAACGGTCCTGAGTGGGCAGTCAGAAGAGGTTCTACAGTAAACGTTACTCCACTCGTTTCTGGTGCCCCAGCTGGCTCACTTTGGGTTGCAGGTAGCAGGTGAGTCCTCAGACAATCTTATCTTTATTGGTAATTTTGCCTTCTACACTTTACTTCCACACACTGGCACCTCCTGTCCACGTGTCAAAGTGTCCGTGGGCAAGTCCCAACACATCCCGCCTTGCATGGCGACTCCATTGCCATCAGTGTGAGTGAATGAGAAGCAAATTGTAAAACGCTTTGTCCAATGAGATAGAAAAGCACTATGAGGTGTAGTCCATTTACCCTTTGCATTTGTCTAAAGAATTTTAAGAGCGCCCTCCGCTGGACTGCAAGGTGAACTACGTCATGGTCTGTACATTTTGAATTCAAACTAGTCATTACTGAATATTACATTTTTCCCCATGATCAAACTAATGGATTTTGAATAAGAAGTTACTGCCCTTGTGAAGATGATTTATAATATGTCATATTTAATGTGTTCAACTATAAATGTGTGTTTCAGCTTTGCATGTATTCAGGCTTGAGGGAGGGAGTTTTAGTAATTATTTTCATCGGTTTTATTGTCATCACCAAATTGATCAGACAGAGAAATATAGAGTGTCAGAATATATTTTGGCTTTTGTTTTCAACAAATCCAATACATGGCTTCTCATAAATCCATGTTAAATTCACAAATACATCAACCAATAATAAATAAATAATCTTCAGAATTGGCAAATAAATAGTTAAATAAATTAATAAATACACAAATACTTTTTTAACGCAATAGATATTTTTGAGGTAAATTAAGAGCTTGTTGGCATATAAAATAATACTGGCATGGAAATTATTGCAATTTCAATTAATAAAAAACAATATAAAATATTCTATACTTGTGAACAACACTGAGATTTTTTATGAATTTCATACATAATTCCTGAATAATTTCAAGTGAGGTTATTGCTTATATCAAAAGGCAGGATTATGATGCATGCATGTGAAAGCCTGAGAAGAAGCTTTTCTCCGACTTTTGTATGAACTATTAAAAAGCGTATAAATAGAAATGAAAAAGATGAATATGTCGCGATCAGTCCTCAGAGCTGCAGTCATCCTCCGGTTGGTGCCCCTTGAAGCAGGCCGACTCGTAGTGCTTGTTCAGGTAGGACTTGAGCGCGAAGGTCTTGCAGCAGCGCTTGCAGGAGTAGTGCTTGAAGGCTGAGTGCGTCTGCATGTGGGCACGCAGGTTGGAGCGGTCGGCGAAGGCCTTGCCACAGTGGGCACAGGCGAACGGTTTCTCCCCAGTGTGGGACCTCATGTGGCCCTGCAGGAGCCAGGGTCGACTGAAGGCTTTGCCGCACACTGCGCACTCGTGCTTTAGGTCGTGGGTCAGCATGTGCATGGCCAGTGCCGGCATGGACACGTACACCTTGTGGCAGGTGGGGCACTTCCTGGCCTGCTGGCTGTCCAGGCTGCGGTGAGTCTGCTTGTGTCTGCTCAGATTGGAGGACGTGGCGTAGGACTTGTCGCACTCGCCGCACACGTGACGCCCTTTGGATTTCCCTTTGGCGGGGCTGCAGTCCACCGAGCCGACGCCCTCGCTGCTGTCCGACTGGCTGCCTCCCTTGCGGGGACGCCTCTGGCTGGGCCTCTGGCTGGGCCTCCGGCGGGAGCGGCCGTCAGAGACGAGGAAGGAGCCGATGCCGCACACGTCTAGCTCAGGGCCGCTGCCATCCGACTCGACCGTGCCGCTGGAGACGGGACTGTCCGGATGCTCCATGTCGTGGTCGGAGAACTCCTCCCCGCCGCTGCCACCTGGGGAGTACAGGGGCAATGAGGAGAGCCCGGTCTGCTCATGACCTGGCTCCTTTGTGCTCTGCAACACTGAGGGGATGATGTAATCGTGGATGTAGCCTGGGAAAGGAAAAATACAATGTGTAAAGAGATGGAACATTGTCATGATCCTGATAACCTCTGATGAAAAGTGCCCTCTTACCCAAACCCCTAATCAATATGAATCCTATACAGGAAGCTATTTGTAAGAGCAAGGTTCAGCAAGCTTTGGGAATGAAATATTAATGAGTCTTTGGGTGCACAATTCTGCCCCAATCAATACTTCTACTGGCTTCAACAAGTGCCATCATAGGGAAGGAAAAAAAAAAAGGTGAAAGGCGCATTGTGGCTGAATATGAGTCTAACACAATGTGCTGACATTGACAAAACAGTCAGCGGAGCAGTACTTTAGCTGACCATCGATCCACCTGTCGCCGCCTCGCAGCAGCAGCAGCACATCTAAATCTGGGAGGGAAGGGGTGGGGGTGGGTGATCAAAACAGAGCTTCTCAGCAGTGAAATCCCCTCAATCACTAAATCATTTTAATCAGATCATTCCCCATCTGTGGCATTTTTGAGAGCATTCATGAGTATGGTGAGGGGGAGATTGAGTGACAGGTGGGGGGGACTGCGATTTGGCAAAGAGGGATGGGAGGGTGAGTGTGTGTGTTTGGTGGCGGGGGGATTGATCTTGACAGCAGTCAATGGTATATTGAGCTCAATCCCCCCCCTCCACACACACACACTAGAACACAAAGGGAAGCAGACAGCTGGCATCCTAAATCTGGGGGACAAATGATTCAACTCGAACACAAGATCTGTGATGCTGGTGGTGGAGGGGTGGGTGTGTGTGTGTTGGGGGGGTGGGATCTGCTCAAAGCGCACATTTCTTTGGATGTTTCTCAAAGCCAAACACACACACACACGCACACAAAATATTGTTTGTATTGCAGGGTTGCTCTGCACATCCCGCCTCCGTGTAGAAGTCCCGCGGAGGAGGAAAATCTACTGTCTGCCAATGCACTGCTCATGTTGCACTTTATTGAATTACCTGCAGCACTCTCTATTTCCCAGTCAATACCCATCTTCTAAAAACCCTGTTCCATCACCTCTCGCTGCTCCACATATGGATTGTGTTGCTGCAATCCTACTCCCTGTGGCTATCTAACATCCTGCAGGATCAGTTGGAGAGAGATGGAGAGATGAACGGGGGTGGGGGGTGGAGGGGGTTGATGAGAGGAGAGACTCAAGGGCAACTGCACCATCTAAGGACAACACAGTCCCATGTGGCTATCTGCTTTCTCTCGAGTGTTTTTTGTCCTTCTTCTTTCTAGTTGAACCTGACAAAGGCTTGCATCAGATGTAGAGCCTAATGCGCGTGTACACGTATATCTCATCATTCATGTGCACAATAGTATTAAAGTCAAAGGCCGCTGTGTGATCTGGTTGGAGTACTAAGCAGATTGAGCCGGCGTGACCTGAATACTATTTGGCATCCGCCGAGTTAGAAAACAAAAGTCCTGAGGCATATGGAAGGGGGAGCGAGCGACGCCTGTTGTTTTTCCTTTTGGGGGGGGGGTTTCCAAGAGCACTTATGTAGCAAACACAACAACATGAACAGCATGCATGATTCCCTGTCTGTTTATTTTTGCCTTTTTTGCCGCTTCTGTGCTAAACACCGAATGGATCATCTCCAAAGGAGGAAATCGATAGCTACCAGCCGGCAGACACAACAAGTTTAAAACACAACTGGAGAGAGAAACTCACCATTTTCACTCAAACGCACCGCCAAGTTGGTGGCCGACTCTGTGATGGCATGTGTGACAGTGTGTGAGTCGTCCCAGTGCTGCTGCTGCTGATGGTAGTAGTTGGAAGACGAGAAATCGTGAACCTTCGGCTGCTTCACCAAAAAGGAACGTGGCATTTTCTTTCCCTGATTTAATAAAAAAAAAAAAAAAATGCTGTTGCTAGAGCCTCATAGAAAACCAGGCTGATGATGAAAAATTTAAATTAAAAAAAGAGGAGAAATGTGCTGAGCTTCCCAGCGGCCTTCTCGAAAAAGGCCAAACTAAAAAAAAGGTTTACAAAAAAATCTGTCCTGGACTCAAAGGTTTAAAGCCAGAGGGGAGGAAGAAGAGAGAGAGAAAATGTAGTGAAAGCAGCAGACAGCGAGAGAGAGAGAGAGAGAGAGAGAGAGAGAGAGAGAGAGAGAGAGAGGGAGAGAGAGAGAGAGAGAGAGAGAGAAAGCAGAGGACAGGGAGGATGGAGAGGAAGACAGAAAGTGGCAAAGGAGAAACAGAGGCAGAGAGAGAAAGAGAGAGAGAGGGAGAGAGAGAGAGAGAGAGATGGCTGGACTAGCTGAGCTCAGCACTACTGCAGCCTTTTATATGTGGGGCACAAGCCCCAAAGATCAGGTGGTGCTTTGGAAGAGGGAGCTGCTTAGCATTAATCCATCAAACATCCCCGGGGACACACATCAAATTACCACGAGCCGTCTGTGCTTCTCCCCGCACGCGCGCACGCACACACACGCACACACACACATGCACACACACCCACACACACGCGCACACACACACACACACATGCACAGAGCAGTCAACTAACCCACCTCCTCCTCCCACATCCTCCACCTCCTCCTCCTTTCACCCCTCCGTCTCCCCTCTCCCAGGGAGGGAGGGCAGACAATAGTGGTGCAGAAGCACGTGGGTGACACTACACACAACATCTTGTCCTCCATTGTCTTTCAATGAAGTAGCTAACACAATTTATGCTGCCCCAAACACACACCCCCTTACTGCTAACACCACCACCACCTCTGATATTTCATCATCCTCATCATCATACACACATCCAGCTCATTGCAGAAATGTTAAACCTGCAGGAACATGGTCTCGGTATGTCCCTCAGATTATGGATTGAGTTTTGTGCGTTTTCATCAGATTTAGGTCAGAGTCACTTACACACATTCAGATGCCTTCATGTGTACTTGTCTGGAATCTCAGTACTTTTAATAGTAATGGTGTCTGTAGTAACAGGAATTAAAACCTGTCATGTACTGAACATGAGGACAAATTATTTTAGGATTATTTATTAGTCTATTTACTTCTATTTTTATTTGTATTTGTTCAAATCCTTTCACCAAACCTGCTCCTTCATTTCAGAAACTTTAGCTTTAGATATTTACAATATCCATATAATATGTTTTTTATATCATTGTTATTATTATTATCATTATAGTTATTATTTTTTTTATAAATGTTGTATTCAAGATACAGTTCAGAAAGAGATGTCTGCCATATCATTTTCTAATCTTCTTTTCAGTCATACGCAGAATTACAAACAGCATTTAGACTTGTTTTAATGTCATAACCTTTATTTACCTTCGACATTATGAGTATCGGTGAGGGGCTTTTTTTACCACGCCACATGACTGTCGAGGCCAAAACAATTCACGATATTATTGCGATACTTTCAGAACATTTGAAGAAAAACAATAATAATGCAGTCACTTCTTTAACTTTGTAATTTGTGCGTTTTGTTTCTTTTTTTTTAGCAAATTAATTCAAAATACGAGAGTCGGGAAATGAGAGTATGTAACCGTCTACGTAACATTATTTCCCAGGTTCTGGATTATTAACATGATTTTTTAATTTCTGAAAAATTCATGTCTGGACACGTTTTTATTTTATAAAATATAAAATGTGGAATATTTCAACTCTAGCTGTTGATACCGGCATATCGAGACACCCCTATCCTGCACATTAGTTTACATTGTTATTTTTTATGTCACTTCTTTAATTGTAAATTGTGCAAATAAATAAAACTCTAAGCATTTCAACTACTTAGATCAAATATCATCTTCGCACCAATATGGACAAAATTCAGCATATATTTTGAGGAGGGATTTTGGCGCATGACACAGGGCAGTGTTTTAGTAAGGCATACACATCAAACTTCCACATAAAAATACATTGGCGGATATGTATTTCAAATAAAATTTTATTTTATTTTATAAATCCACATTTTGAGAAATGAGTAGGTTTAACATTTATATTTTTCACTTCCACCCTCTGTATGTCCCTGTTTATGACAGTTTGTCTGACAGAAGACCCCTCAGCCCTCCATATGACCATGTAACGCTCATCTGGATAAAAAAGGCCCCCACGGTGACTTCCGGTCTGTCGGCTGTGACAGGCTGACCTCAGGGTGCCTGCAGGGTCAAGAGCTCACATTCTGGTTAGCCGGAGAGACAGCAGCAGCTTAAACCTAGCCTGGACAGCTCGCCCACAGATGGCTCTGTAAGATACAGTTCAGTATGACTGGACCATAAAAAATGTAATGCAATCTCACAGACAGATGTTGACAGGGGGCATTTTCATTATCTCTGGCACGGTCTACTGTTAAAGAAACTCAAAGGCACTGAAAAAACCCAGAAGTTAAACAATCTCCATCTTAACGTATGAAACACACAATTATTAATTTTTTGTGCAGACCCAAACCAGCACTGAATGTATCTGCTAACTAGTATTGTGTGTATTCAAAGTATGAAATATCTTTCTATGCACAGCAATGAGTTGTTGCATTGGGTGACATGTTCCTTTATCACCATGAACACAAACAATGTAGTTTACTTTGACTCAATCCCACACACACCGTCCTGCTGGAGGCGGTGGGTCAAACAAAGACAGGACTTTCACCCAGGAGACCGCTGTTTGTTTACCTTGTGAAAACAAAAGTTAACATTGACTTTACGCTTGTTACGTAATGTTACGTAAAAAAAGTATTCTACGGTCAGTTGTTGTTAGTTGACGGTAATTGTGTTACATTGTAACGGTAGCATTGTTTTGTTGCTACGTTGTCACATTGTTACATTGTGTTATTTCGTTGTTATGTTGCGTTGTTTTGCTGTTACATTGTTATATTGTTATGTTGCGTTATTGCGTTGTTCCGTTGTTTCATTGTTACATTGTTACATTGCGTTATTTCGTTGTTACGTTGTTACGTTGCATTGTTTTGTTGTTACGCTGTTACATTGCTATATTGTTACGTTGTGTTGTTACATTGTTACCTTATGTTGTTACATTTTATTTCCCTACAAACCATGATTTATTTTCTAACCTCAACTAAGTCGTTTTGTTGCCTAAATCTAACTAAACGTTTCTCAACGATAACCATGTGTCATTGTGCATTTCTACATGTGTGGTACGAGGCTGATATGAAACATTTTCATGAAAGATATTTTTGGTTCAGAAACATCGTCATTTAACATATCTCGTGGTTTGCAGATACCTATAATGACAAACATTTTTCTGGCGACCTGGTCGTTAAAGCCAGATAAACTAACCCATTGTTGGTTTGGGTCTTTTCTTTGAGATTTGTGAACAATATGAAACCTATCATCCTTTACCAGAAACGTTGGCTTTGTTTGTAGACTTGAAGTCTTAGAAATTGTATTTTCTTAAAACAAATGAAAAAATCAGCCAGTGGGGTTTTATTAATGTTTTATCTTCTTTCCAGTGTTGTGTACACGTGTTTTTCAATCCTACATACAAAGGGGAATTTGTGCAGCGATGTCATCGATGAGAAAATTAAGCAGAGCAGAGAGATTTCCCAGAGGATCAGTGAGATATCATCAAACAAAGCAAAGGCTGACAGGCAAAACAAAATTTTGTTTTGGCACAAAACTGCCTCCATAATTCTATAATTTTGTAATAATTTTTGCCTTAAAGTCGCAAAGAGGAATTACACAGCCAGACATGAAGTATTTCTGCGAAAGAAATCTGGCCGCTGCCGTCCTTGTGTACGTGATACTGACTGCTGAGTCTGATTAAATGCATGTTAAGTAGCGTTGCACCCAGAGTCTGTCTAAGCCTGTTGAGCAGCGATAAGTGAGATAATTTGTGTTAATCACATCCAGTCATTAGAGAGCCATCTGAAAAACAAACGCAGGTCCTTTTCACCGAGGCATCTTTTCAGCACCTCACCAAAAAATCTCCCACTCCGCCATGTAACAATGAGGCAGCTGCACGCCAGTGAATGAGAGTGATTGTCTCTTTTCTTTTAATCAGCACTCGGTGACTGAGAAAAAGGAGAATTTACCCTCTTCACTCTGCATGTTTTTTCAAGGGTTGATTGTGGTTAGCCGCGGAGAGTGATTTGTGATTTATGTTCCGACACATTTCATACTTTCTTTTTTTTAAAGCAACCATCTTTGTGCAAATGGTGTTAGGAACGCTCCACTGAGATTTGTCTTGCACGCATCTCTGCAGAAGCAAATAACACAACACCTTTAAGTCAATCTGGAAGTGACTGGTTAAAGTCTCGCACAATCGGCCACGTCGGCACCGTGTCACCTCAAGTGGGGAAGTGGGATGAGAGGTCAGCGGAGGAGATGAGGAAAAAAAGTGCCAGTCGTCAGGTGGGGTGACTGACATATAGATAGAGCAGGGATGCTGATGAGGCCAACAGGGACGCCAAAAAAGGGGGGAGGAGGCGTTGTACAACTGCATTTTAATCTAGTCAGACCTCAATCCTGATAAAAGGAATCTGTCCATCTCTCCCCTTTCCATTCTGAGGGTCATCAATCACTCGAGTCGCTGGCCTCTGCTCCAGTTGGATGTCAGAGTCTCGGGGGAGCAGCCGGGCGAGAGCTGCAGATGCTATCCAAAATGGAAAAAACCACAGCGGCGAAGGAGAAAGATGGTGGATGGAGAGGACGAGGACATGCCCGATGGCAGACGCAGCTCTGAGATAGATAGCAAAACAACAGGTGCATTATTATTTACTACAAATATTCTAAGTCACAAATATTAGTTTTACGATTTTACGAAATACTCTGTTTGCTTATATTCCCAGGGTGAGATGAGCAGATCAATACCACTCTCATTTCTGTATGTTGAAAAGCTGCACTCCAGGCGTGGTTAGCTTAGCTTAGCCCAGGTTAGCATAAAGACAGGAAGCAGGAGGAATGAGTTTTCCGGATTCGGTCCAAAGCAAAAAAGAAAAACCGGGACTTCTACCAACACCTTTAAAGCTCAATAATTGACCCATTCATGAACAGAAACGTCAAAAGAATCGTTTGTGGTTTTTCGAATGCGGCAACTATTTCTTGACCGACAAGGGTCAGGTGCAAGCGCAGCT